GACTTAAAGGACGTGAAAATCTTAAACTCTTTGAATTTTAACTTTTTTGCTCCTGGTTACGGCTAGAGTTGCCACATTCCATCCATATAGGGAAGATCGAAGATACAGGTAATATGATTAAATTTGTAACCAACGGACGAGGAGTAAATCGAAGAGATACCCAACTGAATAATTGTCGTTTGAGATCCCGGGCCCATAGTTACTGCCATTTTGCGTGTTGAAATCTTTTCGGAGAGTTGGTTTTTGAAAATGTCTAGCATTGCAGGTGTATGCGTAATAACCTCAAAATCTCCCAGTCTGAAAGTTATTTTCGATCCTTTTAGACAAAGTTTACATCACCCAAGGAGGCCACTAAGCGGGTGTCTTGATTCTTCGCTTTATCCACGGGATATGTGATGTCATTGCAAGTCGTGTATGCTTGGTTTTCAACCAGGAGTACAACTTAAGTCTTTACCCTCCGGTTAAAATTCCGTCCACAAATGATAGCTTTCGATTCAGAAAATCAAGTCGCCGATTGCACTTCACAGTATTTTCTTCTTCCAACTATTGACCGAATTCGGACCATTCGTTGGGCAAGCCTTTGTTTTCTTAGTGTTGTACGACTCTTGCTCAGCGAGTGTTCAAAACTTCTAACTTGTGACAGATGGAGAAGCTACTTCTTTATGTACTCGTCTCATCTGATTGTGAACATATTAACCGGTATCACAAAGGAACATTTACAGTGATAAGGCATACTTAGTTTAGTCGAACGCGGCAGGTCAGTTTCTGATAGATTCATCTTGTAGTAGGTAGGATCTGTATATAAATACAGATTTTACCTAATACGACGGCCTGGTCCACACCACGACCCGACAACACTCACGCAAGTCTGTTGCATGAAAAAAGCAATAAGCGAAAAGGTTTGCGTGTGGCTATTATACTTTGTCGTTTGATCCACTTTCAGTGATTCACACTGAACTGCACAGCACCATCAGCGTATTGCACTCGTTGTGCCCCCCTCCCCTCGCACACACACACACACACACACACACACACACAGAGAGAAACCAGATTGTGTCCCTTCATCATTGGACATAAACCGGTAACTAACGCTTTTAACTAGGGCTTACCTTCAGGGTAGGGATAACATTAAAAGTATCTCGGAGTCTTTCGAGTGCCTACTCCTTCATTTACCCACAACTTTCCATTGTTTCCTGCGCATCGCTTCATTGTATCGTAAGCACCACATAACACGTCGACTGCATCTTGCGATAGGCCTTAAATACATCTTTTATCCGGTAGAAATTAAAAGCCAATGATTCAGAATATTCAAGTGTAAGATGACTATCAGTTTCGATTGCCCAGAGACTGAAAACGATGTTCCATGGTTCATCTGTGCGGCCAGAAGAGGGTAATGTGATGGCAACTGTGGTAGCGCTGCTTGGGTATGACTCACTTTGCGATGGAAACAACTAGCCTGTTTGTCATTGGCGAGGCGGTCATCGATCGGGAGCGTTTGCTGCAGTCATGTCTTTGACCCATTTACGGCTTAGTCACAGCAATGCGAAACAGGGCTGATAGGGTTTAGATGACATGTCCGAGGAGAATGAAGCGTCCGGATGCTCGTCGCACTCTAAAACTGATTTCTATCTTGTGCCGTGGCACCATTTTAACTGTGGGACCATTTTTCGAACGTTTCGATCCGATCAATTATTCATTTTTCACCTACCTTACGAAAAATATTAGTGACTTCACATATCTGAAGCTTGAACTAACTTCATTTGGTTCTCCATTCAGAGGTTAATCGTGCTTTACGGTAGTTGTTTTTATCGCGTCAGTCCCCGAAGAACTGACTAATAGCGCAACATATTCTGTGCAATCAAGGCCAGTCATGTGGACACTGCAGTGTTCGGTGAGGGCTTGCAGCAAAATTAAACCAAACCAATCAATTTTAGATGAGTCATTCTCCATTTTTCTTTTATCTATTTACAAGCAGTGCAAAAGCAAAAGAAGCTTATTATGAATCTGATGATCATTTTGTTTGGCAACAGTTTGAATTTTCCCCGTTTGATTATACTTGAGTGATTGATTGACCAGTCGCTCTCAACTGACGTACCAAATACCGTTTTGAACCAACAACGAAAATTTTAATTTTTCGTTTAATCTTTATCGTACTAGCATTCGAAGTTTCCCATTTACGAGCGTATGTATCAGTTTATGACCTCGCAAAAAGGCCTGATGATGAATAGCACGGTCGAGGCGATCGAACGGGTTAGACGCGAAGAATATGCGTTCCTGCTCGAATCCACAATGAACGAGTACTATCGACAAAGAGATTGCGATTTGATGCAAGTGGGCGGTCTGTTGGATTCCAAGGGTTATGGAATCGGACTTCCTAGTGGTAAGTCGTTGTTGGAATCGCTGTTTCAGACAGATGGCTGTATTTATTTGATTAAATAGTGCGACAATATTTATTAAAAGTATATTGGCTTGTTATTGATAGTAACATTGTTTGATACACTAAACATGCTGGGTTGATAAATAGATGAGTTTTATGCTAATTGTTTTATGCAAAAGCAAATCAGCAATCATTGCAAATTGATTAAGCATTGGGAATTCATTTCAGTCAAGAACTACCCAGATCTTGTCGGATTTATGAAAATCTATGGGAACTGCCTCTTTCTCTCTTTAGTATGTTACTTCTTTGGAATTCTGATATTTTATAACATACCTTTGTTAATAAACAATGAAGAGAGTTCACCCAATGACCAGGAGGACCTGTTGTTCACCCACGATAACCAGTAACCTGAAACATGGGACTTCAAATGGGCCCAATGGTTGTGATGTTTAGTCCAACGACAGCGAAATTGCCTACCACCAAAGTTGGTTGGTGGTGGTAGGGTTCGAAAGTTGAACCCCAATTCCCAAAGCAATTAACTAAAACCGTGTGGTCACTGCCACAAATGCCTCGGTAACCAGTAATCTACGCGCGGAAAAGATCTAAGCAGATGGTTTGATACACCTTCACGATCAAACTCAACTTGTCAAAACTCGATCTCATTCTTCCACGTGCGACAGTTCATATTCAACCGTGCCTAGTTCAGTGAACCATTGGTTTTACTATTGCGAATATGCTGAGCATAACCGGTTAGCCTACACTTCCTATGGTGCGATTCTTTCGTCATCTTTCGTTTTTTTTCCATTCAGGTTCCAAATATAGAGATCCAATCTCGGAAACAATCCTGAAACTGCAGAAGCAACAAATTTTGGATAATCGACGTCATTTCTGGTGGGGACAACACGATATAAAGGTCAAATGCGATGCATCTACCGGGAAAAGTTCCGATACTAGTTCGCTTGGCATGGAAAAAGTTGGTGGTTGTTTTGTCATGCTTCTGATCGGGATGGGTGCATCTTTACTGATCAGTCTGTTGGAGTTTATTTACAGCTCATATCAACGTGTCCGAGTGAACAAGGTGAGCCGATATCCTTATGTGCCACTAGCACTATTCGCTTCAATCTGTCGAAGGTGAATAGTTTTCCCCTATTCGCCTTGCTTAGTTTGGCAATGAATACTGAGACAAACTGCAACATTTCAACTGACTGTAGAAGGAAAATCAGTATGTGGTGTGCGATAGTTTACGCAGAGATGGTCTTTTGGTTACTGCTAAATAGCATATTTTATTGCACAACAAAAGCCTAATGAAACAACCTCTTAAACTTACTACAGTTGATTGAGCGTAGTGTGTGTGTGAGAGAGAAAGAGTTAAACAATTGTCCCCCTCTGTATCCAACACTTACTACTTGTTTTAATTCACGACGAGACTGCACCTTGACGTGATGTGATGGCTTGCGTACCTCCGTGACCCTGCAAGCTACACAGGATGGCTTTTCACAGCCGTAGATCCAATCATGCCTAAAAGGTCAACGGGTAGAGGCCAGACGAAGCTCAGTCTCACAAGGCCAGCTGCTTGGGCACCTCCTGGCTTCTTTTATCCACACTCGCCCCTGGAGAGGTCACTCCAGTAAATAAACACGGTGAGGGGCAGTTTACCGGTCAAAAAACCCCGCTAGATAGACGTAGGAGCGGGGTACCTGGGGCTTCCTCTCGACGGTGGGAGAAGTCTTCGCACTGCATTGGACAGCTACCGCCCGCCCAAGCTGGGCAGCCCCCAGCCAATAAGGTGCTGTCCCGTCCACGTTCCGCTTGTTTCATTGGATGCATG